CCCATTCACACGAACCGCGACTGAGAGGGAAAAAATTCGTGTCGCTGCGACAGGACCGGCTTGACCACCTGAGGAAGAACGGTCTGTACTGGACCCTCGAATTAGAACAGAATTTACCCGTTCTTTCGAGAAAGGATGCACCTAGGGATCGATATGCTTTGCTTGTCACGGAACAACTGTGATAAATGACAGCCAGGTGACCAAACGTGGGAGAGTACCCTTCGCGTCTGTTCTCCAGCCGGGTACCAAAATGGCGGCCGGGGTCTCGATCCGGAGATCAGTATCGAACGCGTGGTTAGGGTAGAGTCGGAAAATGGACGAAACGGAGAGACAGTGGAGCAGTTTGCTGTCAATCTAATTTTTTCTTCTAATTTAACATACGTTTAATGCGCCAAAACTAGATACAATGATATACATATGAAAGAACCAAGGGGTTACAAATGCGAACTTAGACTATGAGATCGATGGCTCCAGCGATCTAGAATCAAACTTAATCTACCGAGTTTATCGCTATAGGGTAATATAAGTTCGCTGTGAATCTGCTCGCGAGAGACGTTGTCCATCTGGTACAATGTCGGTCATTGGGGCCGGTGTGAGCAGCGCCTTTCGACGTTTGTCTCGTCTATGTTTATGCCGTGTCGTCTTCTGGCGTCGAACCGGATTTATCCGGCGCTCACGGTGCACCGGCTACTATACTCGCGACACCTTACTCGACTTGGCAGAGTGACTTTTCCGAAGGTAAATATAGCGGCCGCTCTCGGTACACTCACGCCGTTCGGCAGTCGATGCCAGCTACGCGAAAGGACGACAGCGTTGCCCATGGAGAAGGGGAGCTCCGGGTCCTGGATAGGTGCGGGACCATTTAACGGAGAGGGACATTCCAGTTTCATTTCCATTTCCAGATACCTTTCGATTTTAGGAGACCTAGATGACTGAAACCAGCGGTACACTCGAGTCCTTCGCTGCGTTTGTACCCTGATCCTTTCGCGACTGCTCACATGGTACATCGCAAGATAGTTTTTCGAATGTCTCATCTGCTCCTAGATCGGTTTCCTCTTACTTTCAACATAATTTCGCTCGAGTCTTCGTTTTATATTTGCACTTTATGCCAGTTGTTTTTCGCGTTCTCTCGTGTAATGCGAATTTAGATCGCATCCTGTAGGAATTATGGGAAAGGAAAAGGGGAAAATCTACATATTGTTGGTTTGAACTGACAGAGTATATTTTGCGTAAACTAATATGGCGGCAAGGACTGGAAAGGAACTGAATTGTCGCGTTGCAAACGCCGCTAAAAAAGACAAAAATTAATCTCTGAAAGGGATCATAAGCCAAAAATAATTGAGAAACTTTTGCTGTATCCCACACAAATAATTTTTTAAAAATTCGTCAGAAGCTCGGCTAATTCTGGGAATAGATTTTATATTTCGATGTCGGAAAATAAGTAAGAATACTTATTTAATCTATCTGTACTTCTCACAAATTCGAAATTTTCGATACGGTAGACGAAATTTTAAAGTTTTGGGGGTGTGAAGAGAGTTGAGAAAGGGGTCCATAGACGATATTAATCCTTTGCACTCGACGATTTTTTGGCTAGAGAGGAGTAGAAATTCAAAGATTCTCTGCTAAAAAACTAACGATACTTTTTTGAGCAGTAAATAAAGAATTGTATAATAATAGAATTGTAGAATTATTTGACTTCGATACCTCGCACACTGTTACATTCCATTAAATTTGATATATTAATTAATATCGATGTTCCAAATTTTATGTAAATGGTGACTGAAGCTCACCTCTCGAGTGCAAAGGGTTAAAAACAAATGTCGATTCAGATCCCCGTCAGGCTGAACATTCATCGCCGTTGCACTTCGACACATCCTATGTCAGTGTCGCGAAACTATTATACCATCAGGATGTTATCCCGTTGATCGTGAAGAAAACCCGTGTTGACAGGGTTAAGAAACGACCAGAGAGAGGTTAGCAGTCGATACCGAGCGAATGGCGACGATTTTCCGTCATTGGATTACGAGATTAGTCGCAGGAGCCCCGATCTGTACCTACTAAAACCGCTGATCCCTCTTCCGTCTCGTTTAATTAAGAAACATTAATCGCCGTCCGATTTAACGCGCGAGCAGCCGACAGTCTGAAACAGTCTCTCCAGCCTCTCTTATCTCTTTATCCGCCGTCTGAGCGCAGCTGCATTC